ATCCCGAAAAAGCATATAAAATCCCGAAGTCGTGCTTTCTCAAAATGGTGTTAGATTGCATTCCGATTTTGTAGCTAGCGGCTTTTTGACACTTTAAATATGTTCGTATATATATTATAACACTTATTTACATACACACAAAGTTATCACGCCCTTAAAGTTAAAAACCCTTGCCATACCACTTGTGAGCTCTACTTGTCAAAATGCATTTGCTTTAGCAGCAGTGACTTAGTTTGTGAGAAATCCCAGTATCACTGAACTAATTATGTATTGTATAATATTATATCGCTCTTAACAACTTGTTTCTGCATTGACAATGATGTTGCCCCTTAAAGACATATCTCCCTGTAAAAATTGATTGAATTCAGATAATGGTTTTCTCATTTCAATTAATTTCATAAGAGTGTGTAAGTTACCGCTAAACATTCAGCGTTATTCACCATAAATATTTGGTCTGCTACTTTATATGAGTCACAAGCACTGATTCATGCAGATGGCAAATCTTTATTATACGCATTTCCGCTTCTTCTGAATCACTAACAAAATCAAAGACATGAAACCCAAAATTGCGTAATATAAAACGTAAGTGCAGTCTTTCTTTGGTTCAAGGTTGGTTGGAACTTTTTTTTATAATTCTTTTCGGTATTTCTTTGCGAATTTTTGAGAGTTTTGCAAAGATTACAATGTTGAGGAGAGTAAGTAATAAAAAAATGAGTTAAGCCCCTTTGTATTATTTAAGTAAAACTACTTTGATGGAAAAAACCCAGCCTCTCTATCGTCGCTCATAACAAAGCGACAAATATAACGTTAATGAAAATAAACTGCTATGACGCTACAATAATTTTTTTTAAATTATTATTATTAAGGATATATTAAGTTTGTCACGATGTTTGTAATACCCAAATGGAAATGTCGGAGACCCTATAAAGTAAATAATAAATGATCAGTGTGACAAGCTGAGTTGATTTAGCCATGTCGTCTGTTTGTCCGTCTGTATACCATATACTCTCTGTTTTTGAGATATCGACCTGAAATCTCGCACAGGATTTTTTCTCACCAATAAGCTGCTCATTTGTCGGAACCACCGATATCGGAATATTGTAATATATATGTAGCTGTCATAAAAAGTGAACGATCGGAATCAAGAGCTTTTATGTAAATATTTTTTATTTGTTGAGGAATCTTCAAGAAATTTGACAGAGATTCCAAGACATCCTTACAATCTACGAACAAATCGTTAAGATCGGAAAACCATAAGATATAGCTGCCATATAAACGGAACGATCGAAATGAAAATGGAATGTTTTATTTGTCAAGAGATCTTAATGAAATTAAAATTTTTTAAAAACAAAATAAAAATACCGAAATTTTCGGGATCCCGAAAAAAAAACATAAAAATGACACAATTTTAATTGTTGAGATTAAATTTAAAATAGTCTGTCTATTTTTCTGTATGACAAATTTCGAAAATTTTCTATGAGAACATAATAATGTTTAATTTTTTTTATTTTTCGTAATACTAATTTTCTGCCAATTAAACATGAATACTCCAGAGATTAAAAGCTATGAAAAACTACTGCAACTGTTGTACATGTACATGTATATGGCACATGCGTTCATAACTATAAATATACCTATGTGTACGATTTTTTATGTATTCTCTTTCGCATCTTAGTGGAATTTAGAGGTCTTTTAAGTTTGTGCAACTAATCATGTTGCTCTTGCCAAATTTAAAAGTTAAATATTTGTTGTTTAAGCATGTAATACAGAGGCACATACTTAGATATGTATATATACACATACATATATGTATGTATGTGAGTGTTAGCTAACCTGCGCGCGCAACGCAATAGAAAAGCTAATTGAGTTCACTACACTTGCTGTGATCTCTTCGCGTAGTGCTGAAGGTCCTTTTGATTAGCGACTTGACAAGAAAAACATTAAATGTGTGGACATACATACATATAATACATGTGTATGTATGTAAGCTAGTTGGCCTACGCGTGTTATGAGACAGAGTAAAGTCATAGAAAATGAAAGAGAAAATAGCAAAAATTACGTAGACACGTAGTGTTTAACGAAGAACTCCCTGTAAGATTTTGAAAATAATACAATTTTTAAATTGGCCTTTTTTTTGAATCTAAAAATAAAAATCGGGTTCCCGAAAATAACCAAATATAATCCTGAAATTGCATTTTCGCAGAATGATCTGCAATTGTATCCTTCATTTACATTTAATTCTATTATGCCCTGTAAATATCTGCAGTACACCCATTTACATACAAACAAAGTTTTGTATGTATGTGTGTATGATTTCTCAAAATTTTAATCACAGTTGCAAATATTTATTAAAGAAAGAAATATACACGGCAGCTGCTGTGATCATGATGTCTTTGCACATTTTATGCGATCGTCAAATTTTTTGTTGCTGCCACTGCTGCTATGCTAACATTGCCAATGTTATAGCTAATGTAAATGGTCTTTATTAACATGGATTGCGTACATTTGCTGCCTGTTGACTCCTTTTCGGCTGCTGCGCACTTCGCTCTGGGCTGTTGACACAACAAATACAAATAAACTAATTTCTGAATGCATCGACAACAAGGAGAATAACGAAATACACTACAGAAGCAACAACCACAACTACAAAGCTATTAACAACAACACGATGCTTTGCATAGATAATGTAAAGCTTGCATCATTTGGCGTTTTGATTAATGAAAAATACATGAAATTGCTGCCACTAATATTTAGAGTTGTTGTCGTTGTTGTTGTTGCTGCACTTTGGTAATAGCTATTGGTAGGCTGATTGGGCTTTTGTTTTAGTTGCATACATGACGAACACACATTTGTTTTGTTGCCCAAGCAGTGTCATAAATACATGCACACGCACGAGCAGACACACACACTCACAAATATGGTACATACATGAGCTAAACAAATAAACACGCAGATGTATGTACTTAAGTGTGTGGGATAACCTTAAAATACGCTACACACACGCTAACAGCTAATAGCAATAACAACAAGTTGTTGGCAACTCACCATGCAAGTTGTTGCAAATGATTATAACAACAACGACAACAATAGCAGCAACAGCAACATTGACTATCAACAAAGTGGGTGCAAATTAAGTCGTTACCATGCATTCCGCGCACCACTGGCGACCCAGACGCCGTTTTTGTAACCGAAATCTATTTGCGTTGCTCTTTTTTGTTGTTGTTGTGGTTGATATCGTTTTCGTCATTTCATTCGCGCACAAGTACTTTGATTTGTATTGATTGTTGCATTTAATGGCGCACAGATAGACAAATAGCCTGCTAATATTGTGTCGTTGCAGGTGCTTGCCATATAAATGTGACTGCATTGATTAGTTGCAAAAAAATTTGCAATAACCAAAACGGAAATGGAAAAAAATAAATAAATTTAAGCTGAAAAGCGACGCGGTGAATGAAGTAGAAATAGTGCAAAGTTAACACTTTTCGATCAAACTTATATGACAGTTACTGTACGGGTATCATTGTTGGATCTTCAAAAAAAAAATTCTATTTTAAAAAGCTTAATTTTGAAACCTTGTAGCATCTATCTTAGCTTGATCGAAAAATGTTATACGCCAATGAAATAAGAGCAGCACGTAGTTTCTGTCCATATTTTTAAATTATTAATATATTCTTGCTATAATTTATAATAGCGCTTTTCCATAACCCAAATTTCGAACGACAAATATTACGGTTATGGCTGCTAACTTCGAAAAATGGAGATATTATGTTTTTTCTTATGACTCAATATCTTGAAAAAATTTGGTTTGATACAATATCCAGCCGAATCTTCTACATTGTTATGATACCCTAACGTTGCGAAGCGACACTTTAGCTTGTTTTTCTGGCAAATTCATTATTATATTTTCAGCAAGTTTTTAGTTTGAATTAAAATCCACTTGTCTGGTAAATAGCCCTATTCTCTTGCTAAAGTTCTAAAATAAAATATATATTTTTTAATAACTTGCAAACATAGGTATGTTGCAAAGTTGTTTCATTATTTCAACACTCTCTTTTTTCGTTGAACTTAATCATTATGTATAGTTCATTAATGACGTTTATTATGATTGTAAATTAATCTACTGATATTTCGTTGGTTTTCTGTGCAATCTGCTCAAACAATTGTGGTAGCGTACTCTTAATCGAGCTATTAGATCAATAATCTCTAACTTTACGTTGCTTAATATTCTTAGCTACTATGCTTCTTCAACCGCAACAACTGTAATAAGTTTTCTACACTTCGTTGAACTTTCGTTGAGTTAGTCAATATGTTACACAAATATTTTGAAAAAATTTTCGTCCAGATGGTTTTAGGCTGGTTTTTCTTTTAACTCGATAAGCTTATGTGAGGCCTTATGCAGTTTGAAACTGTAGAAGTGTGACCAATTTTAAAATTGTGAAATTTTCTCAACCGAATTGATTTCTACATTTTGTAATACATAATTTAGCAATTTATAACGGCACCATTCTTACATTTGCCATTATTCCAGTAACCCTTTGATCTACCTTTAGCCACATTCGCATCGTAAATATTTATAGCTTCGTCATCAAACTATGAATCCATTGACAAATTTGATTCAAGGCCGTCGTGTGGCTGATAAATAAAAACATGCACATAAATATGTATATAAATATAACATATATACATACATATATAACTATATATATATATATATGTACATATCTATGAATATATGCTTATAATACTGTTATAGACCTACAGTCTCCGGTTTTGCCACTCTAGTCGAGTAAAATGGCTACACATACATAATGTTTCTACAAAATCTTTGTTCCTGAATGGTTTCTTTGTTCACCTGCCTTCACAAGCAAAGCAACACCCGCTCACTTTCCGCCTCAATGTAGCGCTTTATCACTCGCTAATTGTGTATTTGCGCCTCAAAGAGAATGTGCGTCAAATTGCTAACCACAACGCCCTTAACGTCTACATAAATTAATGTACATATGAAGGTAGGTGGGTAGAATGGGTGTAGCGGTGGATGTGTGACGCGGTGCAATTTTCCAGTTATTAATTTCGCTATGCCAAACTAATTTCCGTAATTCGTCAACACTTAACTGCCGCACTGACTGTATATTGGTGTTGTTGTACAGGGTTGTGTGTCGATTTCAGTTGTGCTGATGCTTTGACGGCAACAACAAAAACCTTTGCGGCACTACAACGAGTTTGGCACGCTTTTGAGACGCAGTAACTGCAACAAAAGCTATCTGTGTGTATGTGTGTGAATGCTGCGAAATCGTAATATTTAAGCGATTTTGTTGGGCTTAGTTTTTCTCTTATTGTTATTGTTGTATTTTCAAAATCTTTCGATTTTTTATGGTTTCGCCAAGATTATGTGTCATTTCTTAATCGGCAATTTTGTTGTTGTTGTTGTTGTTGTACGCGCGCAAATTTCAGGCTTGGCGTGTTGCTAATTCCTTTGTTGTCGCAATGCCGTTGACTTTGCGGCAGCAAATGAAATTATTTAACCTTTAGACATTTGCGGCAAATTAAAGTAGTGTTGTAAGTTTTTAACACCCGTGCGACATTTGTTTATTTGCTAATAGCATTATTTGTGTAGCACTAATCATATTATTCACACATTTAATTATGTATATCTACATATATACATATATATATTTTAAAAATATATTTAACTATTTTTTTTATAAATTTCCATTTTTTGCTTCTTTCATTCTTTCCGCAGCACACAAACACAGCTTGCAACAGCAGCAGCAGCCCCACCAGCACAACAACCACAGGCAGCTCAAATATAAATAATAAAAGCTCAAGCTCTACAATAATAACAAGAAATTGCCGTCAATACAGCTCGGTGCATACGCAACAGCCGGCTGGTCCCGTGCGTGAGATTCAAATTGATCCGTACATCATACTCGAAGACGATCTGAAGTATTTCTACGATGATGTCAGAGACGTAAGTGCAGTTATGAATCACTCCAGGATGTAATGATTTATTGTAATATCATTTTGATGATTAGGCATAGACGCCTGGGCATGAAATGAGGAAATTAGCATAATCTTTAGTATTATAATTGCGGGCAAAGATATTTCATTGCTTTTTACAGTACTTACACACATATGACTGGAGTTAAATTAATTAATTCCACTTAGGAGAAAGTAAATTATTTGTGCGTTTTGACAACGTAATGAGCGACCCACGACGCACTAATTTAAATTGTAATTTTAAATATTTTTTATTATTTTTGGGTTTCCTTTGATGAGTGTTGTACTCGTACTTTACATTTTACGTTTAGTGTTTGAATTTTAATATATTTGAATCAAGGTGAAAAGGTCACAAATGTACAACAAGAAACTGGAAAAGTAGATGACAAGCCAAGAAGAAAAAGTGAGGACATAGCTATTTTAATCCTTTTTGAGAAAAACCCACTGCACAGTCTAAGAGAAGCTGAACAAATTTTTTTTTTAAAGGGATTAGATATTTCTCTAACTACAATACAAGACATACTTCAGAGATCTAGCATCAAACGCCACAGCACTATTATCAAACACCTGAAAATAGTTACATTGAGAGCAGAAAAACATCAACCGTGATTGAAGTAACGCAATATTTACAGATGAGTTAATGTTTGTATTTTTCAACACCTTGAGCCGTGTTTGGCTAAGAAAACCCCCAAAAAGGTCCATGTTGATGCTTCCCGAAAAACCTGAACGCCGTTAGAATAATGAAATTGTATAAAAAGGGTTAACTGAAGTCAGTTGAAAGGCTTTACGTCAAATATAACCATGATTGGATACTCTAAGAAGACAATCAACCGAAAAATAGAAATAGACTCTGTACTTGATGAAAAAAAGAAAACCATATTGTTACTTTAGTTTGACCATCACAATTACCAGCAGCCAATGCAATAGAGAATGTTTGGGGTTTAATGAAAGCCACAATGTCAAGAAAACATTTAACGTCAACAAGAGATTCCATTCCACTACTTCAACATACTTGGAGGTCGCTTCCTGTGGAATATGCGAAAAATTTAGTTGTAAGTTGCCATCAATGATATTAGGTTGTAATAGACAAAAGCGGGAGATTGGAGCAAGTATTGAATACACGTCAACTATAACAAAACAATGCATTTTCAAATAATTAAAACAATTTCCTAATAAAGGCTAACTATACTTTGTAAACGAAAACTTTATTTTTTGAACGCAATATAATATTATGTAGCTATCCTTATTTAGCTTAGAGCAGGACAGTTGGCACAGGAAATCGCAGTTGTAAGGGGCACCTGTGGGCTAAAAATTCATAAAAAAATAGGCCCCGCTCACTTAAAAGCTTAATGTACATGTCTCCTACACCATTGAAGCTAAAATAACCAAATTCGCTGAGGATAAATCCAACCAAATCCGGTATCTAACATTCTTTTGTTACCATGCGAAAATGTGCTGAAACGGACAAAAACCAGGCCTATTTCCCATATAACACCATTTTAAATTGCATCTGATTCTTTCACTTTCCCTATTCAAATTAAGCAACAATGATTATTTCGGCGTAAAACTTTGCGTGAATAATACGTTTAAAGTATGACACCTTGTGGCCAAAAATTGTGCAAATCGAACCAAAACCGTTCAAGACTTGGCCAATATTTAAGTTATCTCAATGAAAATGATAGAGCGTGTTTGACACATAACAGTGTATCTTTGTGGCAAAAATGTATAAAATTAGGCGAAAACTTGATCTAGCCCCCATATAACTAATATCAGGATTTTCGAATACCCGGCTGACCTCACTCCATATGATTGGTGATGGTATGTGTGGTACCTTAATGAAACCCTGGGAGCATCTCAGTACAATAGTATGTGGTATTGGCACAAATTGTTAAAATCGGGTCAATACTACCCCCAACTCGCATATACTACTTACAATTATTTTCTTTATTCTAACAAGTTTTTCCGAATATGATGGCCAGTGAGTAATATTTATATATTAAATGGCTTCAAAATATGTTCTCGAGGTTGCAATGTCAAATGAAATTAAATGGACAAGTTTTCTTAAAAAATTATGTGGCTTAACGCTGAATTATAAAGGTCTATACCTTGCACTAAACTTCGTATCCCTAATATAATGAATTTCGATCCTCTGGTTGACGTTTTTCTCATCAACTCAATATATTTATTAAATTTAGCCACTTCGGTCGAGTTAATATCACATACATATTTGTATCTCATTTGAAGGATATATATTTTAGCTAACGCAAACTAAAATATAGTTATTAAGCTAAGTTTAAGTTTATGGTCTTCAAGATAAGTCATGAATATGCCCAATTTGATTGTAATTTATTCACGATTTCATCGAATAATATATGTTTAATTTTTTCGCAAAATTTTTTAATATACAGTTTTGCCAGCACCTGAAGAAATTCCGAGGGCTTTGATTCGTGCAAGTTCCAATAGTATAAAATGTTCGGTTACATCTGAACTTAGCCCTTCTTTACTTGTTAAACTTAATCTGTGATAAACTTAGCTTGACTTGACGCCTTTAAAATTAATTAAAATTAACTCTAAAATTGCTCATATACTGTTATTCTCGCTCAGAAGTTTTAGAGAGTAGAAACTTAAGTTTCTGCGCTGCTTTTATTATTTATACCTAAGAAAACACCCCGATGATCATGATCATTGCGCACAACAAAAATATGCAAATGTCAAATACTATGCTTAAAATATTTTTTTAGACTAAATTTATTATTTTTTTGTGTATGACATAATAGAGCAAGCATATGCGCGCAAATAAGAAGTTAAATGTGATAAAAATCCGCATTTACACCCGCCAAACGGGGCAATAGTTAGCGCATAAAAGCGACAACATAAGACGCTTTCGGCATTTAGATGACTTATTTTTTTTCAAATTGCTGCTTTGATGAATGCGCTGTGACGTTGTGGGAATTTTGTCGCGCTACAATATGGTTAAAAGTTATTTATACCTCAAACGGATGAGTAAATGATTTTGGGTTTATTTGTTTATACACATATGTATATGTTTTTGAGTGCACATCACCTTGAAAGCGCAGTTTAGCATACGTAAATAGTTGAAATTAAAATTTTAGAATTATTTAGTTGTTTGAGTGTAGGAACTGCAGTTTTTACTACGCAATTTAGTTGCCCTCCAACTACATGCAAAATGTGTTTTTTTAATTGTCAATAACATTTAGTTTGCTAGTGAGGCATGTGAGGAATATTTTGTTTTTTCCATAATTATTCATTTTCATTCACCTTATATTATTGTTGTTTCTTTGTGCAGCTCCTGCGGCAAGGCACGAGTCAGACGGAACTCGATAAGATCGCCTCGTACTACTTCGACGGCCAGGGCAAAGCGCTGCGTCCAATGGTTACCATGCTGATGGCCAGAGCGATCAACTACCATTTGAATAAGGAATCAAGGTAAGCGCACACATAAAGCGCACTTTATGCTGCAGCTTGTGGCATAATAGAGCGGAACAAATTAAATGAAAATGTAGTTAATTAAAAGCACTCAAGCGATTGAATATAATAAAGCCGCAAATATTTAAAGAGTTTCAATGAGAATACAATAAAATGTTATAAAAAGCGCAAAAAGTAAATAAACAGCAACAACAAATAATTAAATTTTAAAAGAACTCCAAACGGCCAAAAAAAACAATTCAATTAATTGCAATGAAATTCGCAATAAATGCGCTTTGCAATTTTTTTTTGCCGCGCTGAGTTTCATTAACACATTTCATAATTTCGTTTTGTAGTTTTGAAATCTCAATACTAATATTAATAAGCGTCATCTAGCCTGAATTGAGCATGTCATACGGGGCGTATGAGTGATCTGCTATAAAATTCATGCTGTTAATGGGCAGATTTATTTGCTTTGCTGTTAGTTAACATACTTGTATATTTGTTGTTGTAAACAAAAAATACAATGTGTGCAACATTGCGTAAATGCGCATCGACCAATAAATCCGGCTATAATATCGCCTATTGAAGGTGTTTGAGAAAGGTTACACGGTCGCTTCGAAGCCATCAAATGGCATCAACACCAGCTCTACCAGCAAGCAAACTTATTTTTGCCACCATTGTACGCATCTGCATGTGTGTGTGTGTCGGTGTCTGCATACGCTGGTGGCGATTTTGTTTGTTTGTTGTGCGCGATTTTGCTTTTAGTTTGGCCTAAGCGTAACGGTGCTAATTAAACAGAAATTATTTCATTTATTTCACTGTTGCCTCACGGCTGTCGCTGCCGTGCGCCTCTCCGCTACCTTGCGGCTCTTCACAAGCATTTGTTGTCTTTTTTATTTATTATTTTATTTTTTATATTAAATTTTTTAGCAATTTACTGAACAAACAACGATTCATTGCGCTCTTCTCCGAAATGGTCCACTCGGCAAGTCTGGTGCATGACGATGTCATCGATCAATCGGATATTCGTCGCGGCAAGCCAAGCGTGAACGCGCTGTGGAATCACAAAAAGGTGAGTCGTGAATGTCAGTTAGTATTTATTTGTTTATTTATTTTGCAGCAGGGGAATATTTTTGTTTGGATATTTGTTATGCCCTTTAGTGAAGGTCATTTGTATAATGGAATGATTTTTGAATGCATGGCAAATTAAAATGCCACATACTAAATTTTTCCGGCTTTGTGGTTTTTATAAAATATTTTTGCGAAAAAAAACAAACGTTTTTCTTTTACTAAAGTTAGAGAAAAAGATTTTGAATATAGATTTTTTAGTATATCTTTACTTAGATTTTTTAGCTGAAATGTCAATGCATTTTATATAAAACTCTATAACCGTTGAAAAATGGCAAGAAACCTCGATATGATCCGTAGCTTCGTAGATATATGAACAGCAGACCTTAGCATAACTACTATTTTACGTAAGAGATGTTGACTTCAAAATGTTTAAAGATATATTTTGCACAAAATAATCATCTTTATAGAGGAATTTCTATAATTTAATTATGAACTTGAATTGGTTTCCGAGATAAAGGATGTCGTCCCTGGAGAAAAAATGTGGCTGCTTCTGAGCTATTGCTTCCCTTAGATGGTTCAATTGTTAACAGTACAGGTCCGAATTAAAAGTGTTGCAGTAGAGGAGCAGCTCATAATAGATGATTCGCTGCCTATCCCACCAAACACATGGCAAAACCTTCCTGAGCTTATTCCGCTACTCGCTCTCGCTATTCGAACACGACCATTTTCGCTTGCAGCTGTCGTAAGTGCACCATTTTTCATCTTCAGTAATCGGCTTGGGAAATGCATCAATTCTGTGGTAGATTTGCTACTTATTCAGACGAATAATACTAAGAAAAATAAATCAAAATATTATATTGAATATTACAGTGTGTAAAACATAAAAATTTACTGACATACAATATGCACAGAATTGCCACCTATTCAAAAAAATAAAGACGAGAAAATTATCAGAGTATGCCAAACATAAAAAAATTAAGAAAATATCTAAAAATGTTTTTAATTAATTTAGTTATTTATTTTGACACAAACTTGCCACTAGTTAAAAAAAGTAAAACTGAAAAAAATATTACATTGTGCAAAAACTTAAAAAATTTAAGAAGGCTTATTATTTTCATGCCTTGAAATTTTAAAAAATATTTTATATGAACCTAATATTGTTATAACACTAGATTATATACAAATTTTCTTGCTTAGGACTTATTTAATCTACGACTTTATTTTACAATTTAAAAAGTGCTTTATTATTTTGCTATTGATACTTTGCTTAAGTCATAAACCTTAAAATGCTTTTTTAGCTGACCGAACCTAACCTAGTATACATATAAAGATGTAGGAAATTCAATAAAATATTTTAAATACATAGTCATGGTCTGTCTACCTAGTACTACCATTAATTGATTAAGTTTACACCTTAATAATCTAAGTGAGCTACAACTATATTTCAAAACTACTATATAACCGTTATTGCCACCATTCGAAGCAAAGTGTATAGTATTGCTCAACTCCAAGAAACAATTAACAGCCAATCAAAATTCGATTCTCCTAAACACCGTTTTAACGCTTATGTTAATTGCTGTTAATAAAAGTGCAGTTATTTTCGTAATTGTTTAATAGTGCAATATTATACGAGCATTTACGTCGCATTTGTTAACCAACAATTTTTCTAAATTCTCAATTTACTTCGGACTGGTTTAGCTGATTGCTCTTTGCTTTTTTTTTTGCTCCAAACGTTTTGATTACTCTCCGCTGCTTTTAGTTGCAACATCAAAATTAGCTAAGTGTCATGGTATTGACCGCCTGAAAATCAACGTCAAAATGGCAAAACTCGTTGCCACTGCCAGCACCAAGCTGACTCAAATGACTAACTGCCAGCCAATTGTGCGGTCAAACAACTGGCGTTTATGGCCGCTCAACGTTTTATATATTATTTATTTCAACTTGTCCGATCTTTGCGGGATGCAGTCGCATTTTTCCCATTTTCGGTTGGCAGAAATTTCCTAAACGCTCGCTGAAGGTCCCTGGCCGAGTCGAACTGCGCCGAATCGAGCCGCGCCTATATGGGAAATGAGAACAAGTTTACGTCGATGTTGCAACAAATTGTCGGTAGCCGGTGGTGTCACCATGCCCCTACCCTCGGCGCCATTGATAGCAAGTCTTCGATTGGCGGGGCCATATGTGTACCGACTCGCTTTGGAATAATTGCACTCATTTTTGGCTTGCGTATTATTTAGCTGTTTTATTGCTGCCGCCAAACGGCGATGTGTAAGCGTTTTGTTGCACTTGCTGCAGTTGTTGTTGTTATGACATGTGCCACAAATCGAAAATGTGCAATTTATCCGCCTAAAAACAGGTTCGTGTTCATGTTCGCCTGATTTTGCCAAAAAGCTGAAAGCAGTGGGTATTTTTACATATTTACTTATATACGTATATACTTTTATATATATAACACCTCTATTTACCTATATTTATAAATTTGGCTTTCATGTCAATTCGATGGCTATCGCATGCGATTACAAAATTCGGCAATGCATAATATTGATGGCATTAAATAGTAGTTATACTCTAGGAGTGGTGGACCATACTATATATCTAAAAATGATTTGTTTTTGTTTTGGCTGGAGCTCTGCAGAAAAGTTGTCTACCTTGTTACGGCTGAAGTGTGTGGCTGGTGTCACGTAATTGGAATTAAGTTTTTCTGAGGTGTTTATCTCTGTGCCACGCGGAAGATACCTTTCGACATGGAATAATTCAGCAACAGTGCACCGATGAACTAATTGCGTTTTTAGGCGATTTAGCTCCCTCAAAGACTAGTGTTTATCGATTTTATGGTGAATGTACCCAAACTGATATTGTAACGATCAATCTCATACAATTTGTCAAACACTAAAAAGAATGCCCGTATCCATTGGTCGACAGAGTTGTTATAAAAATACGATAGCGGTGCATCGAAACACGTATGAGAAACTAAACAGCAGTCGACTATATGGGTATTTCTAAATGAGTCAACAAAATCCAACAAGTTTTTCGGGCACGAAGCACCCGTTTGCTTGAAGAAACTGGACATGTCTTAACCATACCACTTGAACAATGCAGAACAGTAAATTCTGAGTGGTAAACAACTATTTGTTTCTCAGAAAAACCAGTCGCCGAAGACCTATCACTCTTTACCGCTCCACTTCTTGGCACCGAATGACTTATTTTTATTCCCGTAAGAAAAAATAAGCTAAGAGGTCAACGTTTTTCGACACCTGAAGAGCAGGATGATGCGTTCAGAACGCATGTTTTGAAGATACCTCAATCAGAGTGGCACAAGTGCTTCGACAATTGGTTCAAACGCGTGCAACAGTGTATAGATCTTAATAGAGAATATTGTAAAAAAGCTATATGAAGCAATTTTCGAAGTTTAATCTTTGTTTTGGTTTTCTAATCTCGAAATATTAGAGGCAACCCTCGTACTAGCCTCAGTTGGTATAGCCTTAGTGCCTTTAGCGAATTTTAGTTTTTCGGTTTCGCTTAATTTTTGGAGCTCCATTCGCTGAACTGTTGGACAGTTTTGACGTCATATTCATAAACCCACATTCCGTCACCTATAATGATGCGATTAATACATGTGGGGTCCTCAGCATCTCTTTTATGACCTTTACTCGACGTCGTTTTTGCAAAATATTTATGCCTTTTGATACGAATCTTGTATTGCCACACTTTATACAAAAGACATTAATCAAGGCAAACTCCACATTCACAAAAGAAAAATTTTAGCAATCTAGGAAAATATTTATATCGATTCGATTCAAACGAACATAAAAGTAGGTTGTGTCAATCTAGGAAAAAGAAAGTGTACGAGTATCTATATGCACCTGTCCAAGTTAAATTGGATCAGATGGTAATTTGCAGCAACAAGATTAAAATAAGCCCCTAACTATACTTACAAAAAGTATTAATTTTAAATTACATTTAACATTAAATCATATTAAATCAGCACTTCGAATATGCATGCTCCATAAAGTCTGTTAAACTCCACCCTTCGAACTTTTGCGGCTATTTTGTAACGTCTCTTCCATTCAGTTATGAGTTACAATAACCCAAAATCTATGATGAAAACGGTAATTGCCATTGGCAACCTAACAATTGATGCAAATCAAAAGCTCATTAATTTTTAGATCGTTTTGTATGTACTAAGATTGATTATTAGATAATGAGTTTGCTTAAAAAAATATCGTAAACTGCATTTTAAAACTCTACGTATATGAACAATTGATGAGCTTTTTTTCCTTCTTCAAGAAATTCAATTTAATTTGAGTTAACACTTTTTTTGTATGGTAAACTTTGAGTTTAATAGTGGTGTTTAATAAAGAGGCAATAAACTCGAGTTTAATATTTTACGTTCATTAATAATTAACTACTGGTCTTTTTGGATGTTTGAAAAACTCTAATTAAAGCGAGTTAATATTTTGTATTTGGTGAACTTTGAGTTTAATAGTCGTGTTTAATACTTAAGAGTTAATAAACTCGAGTTGAACACACATTCTTTATTAATAATTAACATGTGTACATTTTGGACTTTTTTGAAACGCCATATGAAGTTAAAATTTTGTGTATGGTAAACTCCGAGTTTGTTAGTTATATATTGATTGATTAAGAGTCAAAAGTCGAGTTTTTGTCTGCAGGTGAAAGTACTATTAAAAACCCTTTTTTATAACAATTTTCTTTTTCCAGTTAATAATCCGACTAGAATGCTTTCAAAGTACAATGTCAAGAATCCACGTCTTTAGATATAACGAGCTTTTAATCTGCAAATATTCAATGAATTTAGGACCGCAAATCACTACATTTCAAAATCTAGGCCGTAACCGCATTACTTACAAGCCACACCTCGTATAGCTGTAGTAATGTTTACACATACCTTAGTTTACTGTTAAATTGTTTTCACTAAAAACGATAAGGATCAAACACTTGACATGAAAACCAAATATTTTTCCGCAATTTTCAATTTATGTTCAACTTGCTTAACTCTTTAAATGAGCGTTGAACTTATGGTAAATCCGATATAGCTTAACCTCAAATAGTCGAAGAAACAGTAAAAAAAATGGACAGATATCAATTATGTGCAAAATGTTAAACGAAAATAGCCTAATACCGCGTAAAGATAAATCGAGAAGAAAAAAAAACACTTCGAGTTTACACTTTGCATAGCAAAATCGAAAATTACGCAATGCGTGTAAACAAAACAGCCACCGTTATCCATACCAATCGAATAAGCGGCGAGCGCACAGGGCGGAACAGTGGTAGCTGACGGCCTGACAACCAGCAGACAGCAGGTTCGTTCAACATGATTACATTTAGCATTACGTGAATATAGACAAATTTATGTGTTTATGCGCTTAAAAGCTGACGTGTTCAAAATTTGTGGTATGCAACAGAAAAACATAAATAACAAATAAAATCATTACTTTATTTGTGTTTTAAACATTATGATTTCGCACTGGCATATTTGTCATTGATTCTTTCGTTTCGATACAGAAATCTACATTAAATTATGTTCTTGGCGCGAAAATGTATGCCACTCTTTCGTAGATAATTTGGCACAAACATTTTTGACATACATACATATATGTAAAGTATTTCTCTTTGAAAAAAAAAAATCGTTGAATATTGTTTAAAATGTTTATGGTTAGTATATTGGTCGCAGTTAAAGTTCTTACCTTGATTTGTTTAATCTGATAAAACAACTATTCATTGAGTCCTCGATACGATTTTAATATCCCTTTATAACATACGAGTTTTTAGTACACAAGTTTGATATACAGAGAATCTTTCAAAATTAGGACTTATTACTATACGTTTATAATATATAAATACTTACAAATGGATCAGTTTATTAAATAACACGACGTGTTTTACTTTATGGTTCAGTCAAGAGTGACTCAAATTCATTTTAATTCTATATACATACAAATATATTGTATTCATATATATGTCTTATCTATATTATCTATATTCGAGAAAGCCCTTCTAGGAAAAATTTTTACTTGTACTTTTACTTTATAATTTTAACACTATATTTATTTAAGAACCACTTTGGTATTCTATTTCTAATTTTTTTCAAGCATTATTTTTGGCTAACTGTAAGACCACCACCTTTTATTCTTAAATTACGTTAATCCCAAAGACATCCTTATATCCGAAAAGTTCTAGTTTACTCTAAATGATAATACAACATATTTCTACAAACAGTTTTTGTTTTATCTTCGAACAATGTTTCTACATTTTTGAATTTATTAGATAGTCCTTTTCGATGACTGAGCTGGTAGCCAAATGATTTTACATTTGGGTAAACATTTTAAGTTTTGTCGAGACCACGAAGTCTAATAAGTTCTTGAAAGGAGCTGATAAAATACCGGACTGATAGGTTTGTAGTTGGTTGACGATTTAATAAGTACTCGTACTACATGAAGAGGAGCGAAAATCTAATGAAGATATATATGTACTTTAGTGTTTAGTGTATCAACTCTTGTTTAAAAGGACTCAGAACAACTTTAAGAGCAGATGATTATTATGCATAAACTTATTCTGATTGCTAAATTACTGTTTGTTTTACTGACATGTCAGTTTAAATGCATTTGATTTATATATTTCCATTTTGTTTATACTAAATTATTATTTGCTTTTATTGATTCAGGTTACAATGGCTGGCGATTATGTACTTGCCATAGCTTCGATTATGATTGCCCGTCTGAAGAGCGATGATGTGACGATTATTCTAAGTCATGAGTAAAAGCAAAACAACCAAAATGTATAGAAAAATTTCTTTATTAACGAATGTGTGTTTTGCAGTTATTTACTTAACAAATATTTATTTGATTCATTTAATATGATTGAAGAGTTTAAACAAAGTATATATAATCAATAATATGAAGAGAAATATTATTACTTTATAACGGATTTAATTTTTAAGCACTTATAAAATCATAAAAATATTTAATCAATATTTAAAAGAAAACATTTTTCTGAGCGAACAATATTTTTCGATAAAATATATCAATTTGGGAATATTTTTGTATTATTTTGAAACATTTTTCAAAAGTAATGAATTCTTTAACTATATATATTTATAATTTTTCTTGACCCAACATTTATTTTGTTAAATTTTAATATAATCGATTATTTATCTATCAATAATCTATATTTTCTAATATATAATATATTTTATTCAATATATTTTTCGATAAAAGTTATCGATTTTATTTTGATTTGGTCTCGTTAACGCTTAGATTTTTATACTTTTGTTTTGTTGTATTTTCTTCATTATAAAGTTGTGACGCCTTGCTTATATTTTCGATTATTTAATCGCATACAATTTAAAACAATTTATCATTACTTTTTGATGCAACATTTTCAAAGTATATTGAGTTCTTTACAATATTTTACATTTTCTCAATTTTTGTGTGAAAAATATTTGATCTCAAGTATTATATGTATGAAGCTCAATGTTTTTGTTGTATATTCTTTCGTTAGAGCGCAAATAATTAATATAGAAGCATAAAATCTTTATACAAAATGCACTGCAATTAGTTACAATGCCAGCACCTCTACATTCTGACGTATCTTATGAAATTATTTATTCCTATGTACTTGTATGTGTAGGATTATAATCATTACATATGCTTTGCCTCACGAGATCGCCGATAAACTGTCTGCCAACTAAAACGCTTGCAAAACGGGACGGTTGATCTCTGAACATGTGATCTCTTTATACTTTAATATGTATTTTTGTTTCTTACAATTATATGATACTTTATGGTTTTTCTATAAGACAACTGCAGCAGCGCATTACGCGCCATTTATCTGTCTCGATTGCGATCTAAAACCTGAAATGCTGCCTGCTGCTGCATTACTTCCGCAGTGTTGAACTCTACGTCTTGCTGTTCGTACTTCAAGAGTCTTCCTCTTAAATTGAAAAGCAGTTGGTCCTCCCAGCTTTATTATTTATTGCTTTAACTGCATCTTGCAAGATAGACTCGTCAGTAAAACAGATTTAGAATTCTTATTTAAAAGTTATATTCTTATTAGTTCTTTCTTAAAGAAGAAGCGTTGATGCCGGACATGCCATAAAAATTACTTAAAGGGCTACGACTTCATTGGTCAGAACTTTTGGAGGCATTCAATGGTGGGTTACCTGATTGACAACTAATCGACTGCAGTGCGTCATTGTGTTCTTTACGACTATCGCTTTGGCTTTATTTGTCTGAATGCCTGTTATCCTTTATTTATTATTCTTCGTTGTTCTCACAACATTTTTGTGATTATTTCATTTTCTTGGCGCACCTTATAATGCATTCATTAGTACAGATGCAGTAGAAGTGCATTAAATGCAAAATTTATGTATTTATTAATTAAATCGTCTCTGATTTACAATTTTATATTCGAACGATAAAAGACATGCTCGTTTTATATGCACTCATTTGCTACTGTGTCTCGATCATTAATCTTCCAACTACTGATGTCATTTGTGCATTTTGTCTGATTCTACAATACCTAAGGATTGTGCAATGAATTTTCATTGCGATCCCGCGATCGCAAAGAATTTAATAATTTAATTCTTCAGTTTAATAGTGACGCATATTTTTGAAACAATTAACCCTTGTTACTCTCAATGAGTAGGTCAGTTGAACTTGTTTTTCGTTATTGAAAAGTTCGAATGTCTGAAAGTAAATTCTCCACAAAAATTATTAGGAAAATTTCTATAGGAGCCGATTGTTAAGCTAAAAGTTGTTGATAAGTTTCGATAACCAAATGTAAAGAGAAATAATTCAAAATCTTCTAAGTTTTGCGTCATATATGGACAATTTAGTTTGATTTAGAAACGGTGGGAATCAACTCATAAAATTTAATAAATTGATAATCGAAGTTTTACTATTACTTAAGGGCTCCATTGGGTATGAAAGAATGTTTTTATTATCCGTGCTTAAGTTTGAATACTAGCAAAAATCGTTTCTTTATTTATTTTAGTTTTGCTTTGAATTTTTAGTATTAACAAACATAATTTTTGTTCAAAAATACCAGCTTATAAAATATGATTTTTAATGATTATTAATTTTTAATCTTTTTATTAAGTATATTATTTATAATTATCGATACTTTTAATAAATTAGTTATCGATAAAATATGGCGATGCTTAACTAAGTATTTTTGCACCAACGGACTGTAACTAATTTTAAGTATAACTAAAAGTTATTTAATTTTTAAATATATTTAAAGTTGTGCAATTGAAGGAATAGAGATAATGATCGAACCATAAACGTCGATAGTTTACTAAGAAACTTCACGAAATTTGGCATAGATTATTGTCCAGCAACGCTACAATTTCCGAACAAATTGTTCAGTTCGACACTATAGCATATGCTGCCATACAAATTGACTGATCAAAATCAAGTCCTTATGTTGGAAAAATGTTTATTTCAAGATATCTACAATATTCACATGAATTACTGTTCGAAATAAAGCCACAATCTTCGAATAATTTTTCAGATTCGATCATATGTAAAGTATATGGTTGCCATACAACAGAACAATCAAAAAAGTTCTGGTATGAAAAACTTTTTATTTGATAACATGTATATTTTTAAAGAAATGCAACATCAGCACTCGCATTGCCTATTAATAAGCGTGAATGTTTCTAATAAATTTGTTTTAATTTTTCAGGCACGAATCGCGCCAAATTACATAAGCACCGCTGCAATGAAAAATATATATATTCCACTCACTAATAAAATCGAATGCAAAAAAATATCCGCAGAGTGTCAATAATTGCACAGATATGTATGCGTGTGTGTGTGCGATATGCATGCCTTTTTGTTGCTATGTAGCATAGCAGTAAAATATGAAATTTAATAACATCCGAATATACAAATGAAAATAAAATTATTTTAGTATCGAAAATCCATTGCGTGCATTTGAAATCGTTCAAAATGCATACATATATACATGTGCATATGTGTGTGCTTCTATTATTTGCTTAAAACATCGAAAATCCCATCAAATTTGAATGACACTTGGCCACTATGAATTTTTGCATGTGTACACAATTTACGAATGTAAACAAACAAAACGCAACGCAACGAAACTAAATTAAATGAAATAAAATTGGTTTGTGGCTGCAGCTGTAAATTGGTGGCCACGGTGGCTGCGGCGGCGGTGGCGACTTGGTCAATGTTTAAAGTCCACCCAAGCGCTCTGCAAAATTCAACACAAATTTCAATATACATATGTGTGTATGTGTGTGTGTGTGGTTTTTTGGGCCATGCTGGTTACACCGTTTGATGTCTGCCCTACTCACCTAATTTGTTAATACCGTTTGTAAACATATTCATACATACACACACACATTCACATCGAGGCTCATACTCGTCGCTGCGAACATGTGTAGTGTCATGTGTTTAAGTGGCTCCGGCTGTCGGCGCGTTTTGTACATAAATCCCATTGAAATTGTCGATTTTACAGTTTTCTGCCAGTTGTTGACCACAAATTCCGATTGCGCGCTGGTGCTCATATGGTTTGCCGTATTTATTTGTATTTATTCATCTCACAAGCTGCGCGCTAATACAGTTGTAGGGCTTGTGGTTGTTGTTTTAGAGCAGTATTAGTAGTAGTAGTAGTTGTTGTTGTTGTTGTTGTTAGAGGTGCAGTCATTCATTCCCTGCTTGCTGTCAGTTTAGGCTTTAGCTACATACTCGCAGGTGTGTGTGTGTGTGTATATGCATGTCTGCAATATAATCGCTGTTGTTGTTGGAATGCCAAGCGCGTTTAGTGCAAAGGGTGCGCCAAAATTAAGTTTACATATTCATCTTACAAATCGGTGCATACATTACCAACAACACTGTTAAAACCACTCATCTTCGGCACACACACACACACACACAAACTCTTGTCAATTTAGTAGCGCTGTCTATTGGTTTTGTCGTAGCCTGAAGCTATTAACCACGCGCTACGCTTTAACACCGCTTAGCAGCGCCTCAGAAGCATTTCTCACTAAATTATTGCATAATTTTCCAAATATTCATTAGCTTTGCTCACCTATTGCCCACGTGCTTTTATGCATTGGTTTCTTCATCGCATTTCTTACGCAGTTTCGTTGTCTCGGCTTTTGTTTCCGCATATTTACATAAAGATGTTGGCGTCGCAAATGCGAATTATTTAGTTGCTTATAACAAATTTGGTTTCTTAATAAAGATTTAGCTAAAACATTTTTTGTGTTCAGTAAAAGTTGCGTCGGAAGGGTTTCGACATTTTTGTAGGGGTTGGGTAGGCAGAGTGTTTTTTTGAAATATTATATTCGGAAAAAATTGTATATGAGACTGTGTTATTAGATTTAAACTATAAAAAAGTAAAGTGGTGTATCAATACGGATATACAAATGATAGATGTACGAAATGAATGCGTCATGGCGTATAAGTAACATTTTGTATTGCACAATTCAGGTAATTAGCTTCTACTAATTAGCAAGCATCGCTATTAATAGCATAAAAAAAGTTTCTTTACAATATATACAAAAATTGTGTTAATTTATAATTAAATTTAGATAATTTTTTTTTTATATATCCAAATAATCATTAATTACTTTTATTTATGAAAATTTTTTCAGTAAACTTTTGTGAAAATAATTGATTAAAACTGCGTTTAGAGTAAAAAAAAATCGGGTTTTCCGATATTTTATTCGATAAATTATTAAATCGATAATTGATAAATTGTAGCAGGTTTCCTCCTTGATTGACTTGT